CTGTATTGGGGGGTTTATGTTATGTTGTAAATAAAATTTCCAATAAAAAATTATTTTTTTAAGAAATACAATATATCATTGAAATGTTGTACCTATTACAAAAATCTCCTTTAAACCCTCTGCGTCATTCCATCCACTCAATTCTCACTTCAATAAAATGTTGCAGTGTAAATAACTAACCGAAACCATGCCACCCCCCTTCCCCTGTTCCTTGCCACCATTGTGAAAAGTTGTTTTTATTTACTGGGCCTCTTTTTCTGTGCGTGGGATATCCCTTTTCTCTCTCTTGTTCTGCCATCCCTTCTCTCCCTTGTCCTTTTTTCTGTCTTTCTCCCAAAAGCATCTGTCTGGGCACTGAGAAGAGAAGAGAAGAGAAGAGAAGAGAAGAGAAGAGAAGAGAAGAGTTTTGGATTTGATATCTCGCTTTATCACTACCCAAAAGAGTCTCAAAGCGGCTAACAATTTCCTTTCCCTTCCTCCCCGACAACAAACACTCTGTGAGGTGAGTGAGGCTGAGAGACTTCAAAGAAGTGTGACTAGTACAAGGTCACCCAGCAACTGCATGTGGAGGAACGGGGAATCGAACCTGGTTCACCAGATTACGAGTCCACCGCTCTTAACCACTACACCACATTGGATGGTCCATTGGTCTGATGCAGCAGCCTCTTCTTATGTTCTAATGTTCTCTGCTGCTCTCTTCCCTGCTTTCCTCGCTACCAGGGTGAAATTAGGTAGCTCCTGAGCCACAGGTTCCTCCACAGAATCATCGAATTGTAGAGTTGGAAGGGACCCCAGGGTCATCTAGTCCAACCCCTTGCAATGCAGGAATCTCAGCTCGATGATACAGGACAGACGGTCATCCAGCCTCTGCTTTCACCCTCTAAGGAAGCAGAGTCCACCAACTCTTGTGGCAGTCTGTTCCACTGTCAAACAGCTCTTACTGTCAGAAAGTTATTCCTGATGTTTAGTCAGAATCTCCTTGAATCCCTTGGTTTGAGTCCCACCAAGTTTGATTTCATCAGATTGGAGAGAGAGCTTTAAAATAAAAATAAAAATGTATTGCTTTTACTTTGCAGGTGTACGCTGGAGATTTCTGCAGTAAATGTAACTGTATTTTGGTCATGCCCAGCATATTTGGATCGATATCTAGAATCTAATTTATGAAATGATGGATTTTTTTAATGCCAACAAATCCTTAAGATATGCTTATAATGCTTTTTAGAAGAGCTATCGGGCTTACTGGCTTAGAATGAAAAGTTAATTTTTTGAACGGCAGCAAAAATCTGCAGTGCTGCATTATGGAAAGAACCTGCAGCATCTAAAAAATTCTGTTTGTTTAAGGATCTGCAACATTGCATATTTATTCCAAAAGTTATTTCCAAAAACAGACCAACGTGTTTATTGGAAAAAAGGACTTTTAAAATTACCTTCTGGAAGAATACATTCCAGGATAAAGGTTCAACCTTATGTTATTTTTGCCATAATCATAATTTTGTATTGCTTATTTTTTTAACCTTTCATGTTCTGGTTTTCATGTTTCTTAATACATAAAATATTGTATGTGCCAGGGCTGGAGTCTGACGGAGGCCAGCAATAAAGGAATCAGATCTCCATTGTCAGTGAAGTTAACTATTTATTTAAGGAAAGGAACATGTAAGTTGACTTAGTGGTCGCAAGAAAAAAGCACACCAAGAACTCAGGCCAATGTAAGTTTCAATAGGGGGAGTGGTCCCTACCCACAAGTCAATAGTCAATAGTAACAAAAACCAATCCATTCAAAAGTATGTATTCTGACAAGAATTACAAACTCAAACAGAGATTACAAACTCTAATAGAGATTACAAACTCAAACTCATAAAGGTATGTATAACACAATAATTTGTTACAAAGATTTTCTCTTTTTCACTGGACAATAATGTTGATCCTTATCATTTATCAGCTTGCAGATGGAGACTCAGTTTCAATCACAGCAGAAATCAGAAGTCAATTATGGATTAGAAACCAGGACAGGGCCCTGTTTCGATGTATTCACCTTCATCAGCTGGAAGTATCAAATATTACATGAAAATACATTTAGATTCTAAATTATCATAAATTATAGAACAATCATAAGACTTAGTGGTCTCAGCAACACTCTTCAGTAGGTCTTGCCCCTATGAAAAAGCTGCCAGGATGGAAGGTCCCTGCCTGCTACTCTCTCTAAGGCTCCTCCTCTCCCAGATGTTTCCCAAGCACTCTCAAACTGCATGTGCACACCTCTGGTCTCTGTTCTGCCATTCTGGGGACCAGGGAGGAGGGGAGCTTGTCGCATCAAGAGCATAGCTGTCAACTTACAGATTTGAAAATAAGGGACCAGCAGCCTCGAAAATAAGGGATCAGCAGCCAAAATAAGGGTTTTTAGTCAACCAGCAGCCAAACAAAGCCTCAAGCGGTGGTTCCCACAGCGCATCAACCCAGCAAAGGGGGTGCAGCAAGGAAAACCACCGTTACCTCTCCGCTGGGAAGCGCTGAGCAAATGCAACTCCCCAGGCAATGCGGCCGATTTGATCAGCACAAGGCATGCAAGCTCCACCCCCCAGTCATTCTTAGACTCCTTATTGGGTGAGCAACGCAGCCAAGCAACACAGTTGGAGCCTCCCTCCTCCCTGGCTGGCAGGGAGGGAGGGAGAGGAGCTGCTTCCTTTGAAACCCAGGAAATTTAAGGGACATCATCAATAAGGGACAGCAGCGGGACACGGCGCTGGGATAAGGGACTTTCCCGCCAAATAAGGGACGGTTGACAGCTATGATCCAGAGAGCACATTGGATTCTTCAGCAGCCTCTTGATGAGGGGTAGGCAACCTAAGGCCCGGAGGCTGGATCTGGCCCAATCGCATTCTAAATCCGGCCCGCGGACAGTCCAGGAATCAGTGTGTTTTTACATGAGTAGAATGTGCCCTTTTATTTAAAATGCAACTCTGGGTTATTTGTGGGCATAGGAATTCGTTCATTTCCCCCCAAAAAATATAGTCCGGCCCCCCACATGGTCTGAGGGACGGTGGACCGGCCCACGGCTGAAAAAGGTTGCTGACCCTTGCTCTTGATCCTCTGTTTCAGCCTCGGACTCTGAACTGCTCCCTATCACAGGCTCTTCCTGCTCACTAAAGCCTGTTGCCCCTTCAACACGCAGCACCTCCTCCCAACCTTCTCCCTCTGACCTCTCCTCTGTGTCCCACCACCAGTTCCTTGGCTCTGAGCCTTCCTCCTCTGGGGGTCCCCTTTGGGGTTCCCCAACTGGTGCCTCCCACCACTCCTTTTTGTCCAGCCAGCCCCTGACAGCAGTAAGGTAAAGGTAAAGGGACTCCTGATCATTAGGTCCAGTCGTGGCTGACTCTGGGGTTGCGGCGCTCATCTCGCTTTATTGGCCGAGGGAGCTGACGTACGGCTTCCGTGTCATGTGGCCAGCATGACTAAGCCGCTTCTGGCGAACCAGAGCAGCGCACGGAAACGCCATTTACCTTCCCGCCGGAGCGATACCTATTTATCTACTTGCACTTTGAAGTGCTTTTGAACTGCTAGATTGGCAGGAGCTGGGACCGCGCAACGGGAGCGAACCCCGTCGCGGGGATTCGAACCGCCGACCTTTTGCTTGGCAAGTCCTAGGCTCTGTGGTTTAACCCACAGCGCCACCCGCGTTCCTCTGGCAGCAGTGCTTTCCCCCTAAAAATAAAATAAAAAATGTTTAGGGATACTCTCATTTTCCTACTCATATTGAAATACTGCCCCTCAATGAGGCCAAACTTAGATTCACAAAATGTTTAGGGGTATGTGTACCCCTGCGTACCCCCAGAAAAAAGCACTGCCTGGCAGTATGAGTGAAAGGCAAAGGGTGAAATTCAACTTAATGCTATGGAGATTGTTCCATTTCTGCTTAACCATCAGAACAATCTCTTCTCTATTCCTCTCACATGCTGTTCTGGGGGTTCTCCCCATCCTCCAGAACGGATTTAGGAAAGGTGGGGGCACATAGGGGAGGGAAGGAGAGGGGGAAAGCCCCCTTCTGCTAGCAGGAGTCCTTGCACTGGCTTCTGCTAGCAGAAAAGGGTAGTTGAATCTGGCCCAGAGTGTGTAAATGTGGGATTTTGGGGTGGTTGTTGTTTTTTTAATGCCAAAATCTTATCACTTAGGGCTTAGGCTGATACCCCTGCAGTACGTCTAACCGCTCGGCCAGTGCTCAGCATCAAATCTGGGTGGAATCAAGACCCATATTAAAAAACACTGTGAAAATGCTTTCTAAAAAAACGTTTTGAAAAATATATTGAATTTGCCATAAGCTCACCATCGCCATCTGGTGTCACCTTTGAATAATGCACTTAAAACGTTGTGTTTGCAGCTGTATTGCTGAGTCTCTGGTTATAGTTACTCGCTGTGACAATTGCTATTGACCGCCCCGTCACTTTAGGAAAACTGCACGGACTTTGCACATTTCACCAGCATCACACAGTAATCTGTAAAAGGCTTTCGAAAGCAGTAATCAGTCTCTGCAATGGAGTGCTTCTGTAAGCACCAGCGGTATTAGCGCCAAGTTGAGTTAGGTACAAAAGCAGCTGGTGCTTATTACTGCATAATTGAGCGCAGCAGCCTGGTCTAGTAGGATGCTGCGATGTCGAGACTGCTCTTCTGATGACAGGGCTTTGTAGTTTTGCTTCATCACTGCACTCAAGCCTTATTTACGTCAGCAAGTGCTCTGTACGTCAGTCGTATACACACTTAGCTGAGAGTAAGTCCTACCAACTTAGATGGACTTGCCTCTGAGCAAGGATTTCGATGCAAGTCACATTCGAAAGACTGGATCCCGGTTAGCTTTATACCGTGACTGTATTCTATCCTTCTCCTTCCCTCTGTTCTATTTTTAGCATGAGCCAAATTCCATCTATTTGCAGCAGCCTGGTGGGAACTTATTATCACTTTCTATATTTAAGCCCTAGAAGAGGTTTCGAAGCTCCTTTCCACAAAGCCATGACAAATATAGTAGCAAGATTGTAAGTGAATTTCTCTAGCTGCATGCTTAACAGGGCTGCCAATTATTATTATTATTATTATTATTATTATTATTATTATTATTAGCTCTTGTGCTTTTAAGAATAGCTTTACCTGCAGTTATTAGGAGGCAATAATCTCCATGCCTTGAAAAAGAGGGGCGGGGGATGCATAAGCATATATCCTAACTAATTTTGATTGCAAAAACTCAAATTGCTTTATCATTCATCTCCCTTCTCATTATATATGCTTTTGGATTAGGGGTTACCTACAAATTTGATAAATAATATTAAATAACACAAAACCAGTTCTTTCTCTCCATTGAAAAAGATAGGAGCTGCAGGATCAACATCTCTGTGCTTCAGTAACCGCCGCCTGGCACAATGAGGTCTTCTGCCTAAACAAAAGTAAAGAATGAAGCTGTCCATGTTTTGGTCCTGTGGAGGATCCCATTGGGCAAGGAGGCAAAAGCAGGTTTGCTTATTTCAGCACTAAGGAGAACTCCTAGTGAGCAACGTTCACCTCTGCTATACTCCACCTCTGCTATGCTCCCTTTTGAAGAACTGGCGAGTCTCATAAAGTTCCACCTCTGAATATGGGAAGGGACGCGGGTGGCGCTCTGGGTTAAACCACAGAGCCTAGGACTTGCTGATCAGAAGGTCGGCGGTTTGAATCCCCACGACGGGGTGAGCTCCCGTTGCTCGGTCCCTGCTTCTGCCAACCTAGCAGTTCGAAAGCATGTCAAAGTGCAAGTAGATAAATAGGTACCACTCCGGCGGGAAGGTAAACAGCATTTCCGTGCGCTGCTCTGGTTCGCCAGAAGCAGCTTAGTCATGGTGGCCACATGACCCAGAAGCTGTACGCTGGCTCCCTCGGCCATTAAGCGAGATGAGCGCCGCAACCCCGTAGTCAGCCATGACTGGACATAATGGTCAGGGGTCCCTTTACCTTTACCTGAATATGGGAACTTCTCCAGTGCTCCACAGCCTCCCATCTAGAGTTCTCCCTGTGCCACTGGACTCATCAGGTAGTGCAAGTAGCATGCTCTTGGGCTCAAGAGGAAGGCACCCTCCATGGGGGTCTTGACTCAAATTTACAGGGCCTGGTCCAGTGAGATCTAGTTCAGCATCCTGACAGTCTTGAGTTTGATGGTCCTCTGATCATCAGCATCAGTCCCAGAGCCAGGAACTCAGTCTGGCTCACTTACTGGGGACACTGTTGTCTCCAGCTTGGAGTAGTGGTAACTACTGCATTCTGGGATCACAAGAATGTAGTGCAATGCCCCACCTAGAGTCTTAGAACAGTCAGTGTGAGATACAGTTCTCCACCCTACTTTAACCCCCAGAAAACAAATGCTAGGTGCCTGAGTTTTTCGTTTGTTAAGAGGCTTAAGACGAACAAGTGCAGCATGTGTTCCCACTGTTTCCAGTTCCGCTTCCCTTTAATCATTAAAATATGATGTTTGGCTTCATTTGCTTTTTGAAGAAATCTATAACCCCCAAACAAAAAAGCTTTGTGAATTGTGAAGAACTAAATTTTAGCGCTTGCCACTTTATTGAATTCCAGAGGCAGAACAAGTAAAATTAATTGTGTTTCTTTTTGGCTACGGACTTTAGTCAGAGTAGTTCTTATCGTAAATTCCATTAGTATGCCATTTGCTGACAAGGCTGACAAAGCGAAGGGATTAGCTGGAAGGAGGTAGCGGGTTGTTTCTGTTTGATCAATAGTTCCCACAGCTACAATATCACTTCTGTGCAGTGTTTTTTAATTCTGCAGAGCTGGAACTTCTAGGAACTTCTAGGAATTTCCACACAGAACCCTCACTTTACTCTGGGAAAAGAAAACTTAGGGCCCTTCAGATTTTGCTGGACTTCCAACTTGCATCATCTTCGATCATTGGCCATGCTGGCTGGGGCTGATGGAAGATGAAATCCCACAATATGTGGAGGGCCACAAATCCTGCATCCCAGTCTTACTCCCTGTTATACTGGCTAGAGTGTTGGACCTGGGAGACCAGGGTACAGGTCCGCACTCAGCCACAAAGCTCACTGCATGACCTGGGGCCAGTCATCATCTCTCAGCCTACTCTACCTCACAGGGTTGCTGTGAGGAAAACACATTGAATATCCTGAATTTTTGTTCAACTTACTTTTACGTGCATTTTTATACAGCTGTTTTATTGGATTTAAGTTATGTTTTTGTTGTAATTATTTTGTTTTTGCCAGAGAGATGATGAGATAAAAAACTGCGAAAACAACCCAGCTACAAGGATGCAAAAGGTTTGGACTGAGAGCAGATTTCATTTGGTGAAAGAGATGGTGGGGGAGGGGAGCCCATGGTTTGCTTATTTTTCTCTACATTTATGATACGGCAACCCTTACCGGAATGCAAATTTTATAAAAAATATATCTGCACAAGTGAGGATGGAAAAAATTGGAATATAATGTAATATGGAATTTAACAAAATTGGAACTCTGTGTGTGAGACAAAGGAACTGAGGGGAAAGTGGGGAGGGGAGAAACCCTATGCTTTGAAAATATAGAGCAAAATCTGCCCTAATTTCCATTATTCTCAAAGGAATGTGTTTAAGATAAGGATAAATGGCCATAAATCAGCGGCAGGGAGGAAAGGAGTCTACCAGTTGTGGGAATAGAAGATTATGGATTAACTATTTGCAGTCTGGATTCAGACTGAAAAAAATGACGAAGACGGCTTGTTTACTGGAAGCTGAATCACGGGACCAAGCGATGCAGGGACTTTTGGAAACTGTGAGGTAACAGCTTCTCCCAGGACAGGACAGGAACCATCAACACTTGCAGGAATGAAGGATACAACAATATATATGGATGGGAAAACATCATGGAAAAAATTGTGACACGCAGGAAAGAATAAGGATTATGGCTAAAGTTCCTCACTTGAAACTTTATAAATTATCTAATATACCAACACAAATAGAAATCACAAGATTGTAGCTTTTATATAAAGGATTATTATATCTGAATGGAATGAAATGGGAATTATTAAAAGTTTGGAACGCAGAAAAAATGTAGAAGAACGAACTTATAAACTCTAACATGCGAGGGGGCCAGTTTAATTAAATTGAATTCCCAAAGGAGGGGGTCAGGCTGTGCCTTGGCCAAAGGCCTGGTGGAACAGCTCTGTCTTGCAGGCCCTGTGGAAAGATGTCAAGTCCCGCAGGGCCCTAGTCTCTTGTGACAGAGCGTTCCACCAGATCGGAGCCACAGCCGAAAAAGCCCTGGCTCTGGTTGAGGCCAGCCTAACCTCTCTGTGGCCTGGGACCTCCAAGATGTTTTTGTTTGAAGACCGTAAGGTCCTCCGTGGGACGTATCAGGAGAGGCGGTCCCGTAGGTACGAGGGTCCTAGGTCGTATAGGGCTTTAAAGGTTAAAACCAGCACCTTAAACCTGATCCTGTACTCCACCAGGAGCCAGTGCAGCTGGTATAGCACTGGGTGAATGTGATCCCGCAGCAAGGACCCCGTAAGGAGTCTCGCCGTGGCATTCTGCACCCACTGGAGTTTCTGGGTCAGTCTCAAGGGCAGCCCCACGTAGAGCGAGTTACAATAATCCAGTCTGGAGGTGACCGTTGCATGGATCACAGTGGCTAGGTCATGGCGAGAGAGGTAAGGAGCCAACTGCTTAGCTTGGCAGAGATGAAAAAATGCCACCTTTGTTGTAGCTGCAATCTGCACCTCCATGGAAAGGGAGGTGTCGAAGATTACACCCAAACTCTTAACGGACAGTGCTGGCACTAATTGCACCCCTGCAAGAAATGGGAGTTGCCCCCCCAATCCCATATCGTCCTGCCCCAGCCAAAGGACCTCTATCTTCGAAGGATTTAACTTCAACCGGCTCCCACGTAACCATTCAGCCACAGCTTCCAAACATCTGATCAGTGTGTCTGGGGCCGAGTCAGGATGGCCATCCATCAACAGCTAGAGTTGGGTGTTATCAGCATACTGATGGCAGCCCAACCCAAAACTCTGGACAAGCTGGGTGAGGGGGCACATAAAGATGTTGAAAAGCATCGGGGAGAGTATCTCACCCTGCGGCACTCCACACACCAAGGAGTGGCGCGACGACAGTTCCCCCCCAAGCGCCACCCTCTGTCCCCGACCAGAGAGAAACGAGCGCAGCCATTGAAGGACTGTGCCCTGGATCCCCACGTTGGCAAGGCGGTGGTCCAGGAGTTCGTGATCAACCATGTCGAAGGCTGCTGACAGGTCTAAAAGAATCAGCAGCCCTGACCCGCCCCGATCCAGCTGCCTGTAGAGATCATCTGTTAGGGCGACCAAAGCTGTCTCGGTCCCATGACCAGAGCGGAAGCCGGATTGGAATGGATCCAGAGCCGATGTTTCATCCAGAAACCCACCAAGCAGTTCAATTTAAAAAGGTATCCTAGCATAGAAGGATTCTCTTCAACTTGTGGAGGGTGAAAGGGATTTAGAGCACCTGAATAGGATTGTATTCATTTGTTAAATCACTTATTTCTCAGTATTAATCTTCCTGCCTGAGATGAATGTTCTCCTTTGGCTTGATGCCATTCTGCCATGTTTTCCATTATTTCATTGCTGAGTTTTATGTCGATAAATCGATCCCTTAGTGCCTGTTATACTTTGGTGACTTGCCATGCTGATTTAGAACTGTGATTCTATATAATAATAAAAAAAGGTGTGGGGGGGAGAACAAGCAAGTCATTTCTCCATTCACAGCATGCCAAGATCAATTTATAGAGGGGCTAATTGTGTCATCATTCAGCCATGAAGAACTGTGAATGTAAAGCATCAAGGAATGACAGAAGCCTGCAATACTATAATAACTTGATTTGATATTTTAAATAATGCTATGTTCACTCTCTGAAGGCTGATCGCCGAAGAATTGATGCTTTTGAATTATGGTGCTGGAGGAGACTCTTGAGAGTCCCATGGACTGCAAGAAGATCAAACGTATCCATTCTGAAGGAAATCAGCCCTGAGTGCTCACTGGAACGACAGATCGTGAAGCTGAGGCTCCAATACTTTGACCACCTCATGAGAAGAGAAGACTCCCCGGAAAAGACCCTGATGTTGGGAAAGATGGAGGGCACAAGGAGAAGGGGACGACAGAGGACAAGATGGTTGGACAGTGTTCTCGAAGCTACAAACATGAGTTTGACCAAACTGCGGGAGGCAGCGGAAGACAGGAGTGCCTGGCTTGCTCTGGTCCATGGGGACACGAAGAGTCGGACACGACTAAACGACTAAACAACAACATGTTCACTCTCTAGGAGTAGAGACAGGAGTAAGTGCTGACAAAGTAACAGGAAATGTCAGAGGCATAAACACACACATATACACACACCATTCCCCCTGGTTTTTAAACTGGAAACTCTAGAAGAAATCAAAATATGTGCAATATTTATATATTTACCAATACTAAGCTGGAATCATGTCAGGCAATGACAAAACCAAAACCCAGATACCCTTTCAATAAGGGAGCAATCCTACCCACAATAAGCTGGCATATAGAAGCTTGGCAGAGGGGAAACTTACCTAAGTTTTCTATTTTTCAAAATTATTTTTTGTATATAATTTTTATTAAATTTTCTGTTTTACAATTTAAAATACTTATTTTAACATCCTGAAAATATCAATGACTTCCCTTTTTCTCTTTCCATAGTTCATTTTACATATCACAAATCCCTACATATTTTACAAAAACTATACCATTCAGTATTCCATTATTGCATCCATCAAAACTTATTTACTCTGTTGAATTTATCTTAATGCTGCCAGTCTTTTCAGCTGTAAACAATTATTTATCACATCTCCAATAAACGTTTTCCAATCTTCTTTAAATGTATGTTCTTCTTGTTCTCTTATTCTATATGCTAAGCCCCAAAATGGAAAGTGAACGAGGTCCCAACTAAAGAGGATTGGCAACTCAAGTTGACAGAATATGCACAACTTGCAGATTTAACATATAGAATAAGAGAGCAAGAAGAGCATACGTTTAAAGAAAATTGGAAAACGTTTATTGAGTATATGGAAAATAACCACGTATAGCTGAAAACGCTGGTAGCATTAAGATAAATTCAACTGAGTAAATCATTCTCGATGAGTGTACAGTAATAGTGGAAAATTGATTTGAATAGTTATAGCAAAATATGCAGGGATGTAAGATATGCAAGGGACGCAGGTGGCGCTGTGGTCTAAACCACAGAACCTAGGGCTTGCCAATCAGAAGGTCGGTGGTTCAAATCCCCGCGGCGGGGTGAGCTCCTGTTGCTCGGTCCCTGCTCCTGCCAACCTAGCAGTTCGAAAGCACGTCAAAGTGCAAGGAGATAAATAGGTACCGCTCCAGAGGGAAGGTAAACGGCGTTTCCATGCGTGGCTCTGGTTTGCCAGAAGCGGCTTAGTCCTGCTGGCCACATGACCCGGAAGCTGTACGCTGGCTCCCTCAGCCTATAGAGCGAGATGAGGGCCGCAACCCCAGAGTCGTCCACAACTGGACCTAATGGCCAGGGGTCCCTTTACCTTTAAGATATGTAAAATGAACCATAGAAAGAGAAGAACAGAAGTCATTGGATTTTTTAAAAAATTGTAAAATGTTTATTTGAAATTGTAAAACAGAAAACTTAATTTTATTTTTATATATATATATATATATATATATATATATATATATATATATATGAATGAGAGATGTGGCTTCAGAAATGGGGTTGGGAAGGTGAAGCATGAGCTTAGGAGCTGCATGGGGTAGGAAGATGAAGCTCTAGGGGGTTTATGTGGGTTTGGGGTTGGTGAGTGGAGTGTGCAGGGATGCAGCTTCTAACAGTTTCAGGACATGATTTCAATACTGGTTCTCACCACACGACAATGTAGCCCTCCATCTGGGCACACATAAGAGGCTCTGAGGTTCCATGGCAGTAACTCAAGTGAATACAGTGGTAGCTCGGGTTACAGACGCTTCAGGTTACAGACTCTGCTAACCCAGAAATAGTACCTTAGGTTAAGAACTTTGCTTCATGATGAGAACAGAAATCGCACAGTGGCAGCGGGAGGCCCTATTAGCTAAAGTGGTACCTCAGGTTAAGAACAGTTTCAGGTTAAGAACGGACCTCCGGAACGAATTAAATTCTTAACCCAAGGTACCACTGTGTGTGATTTGAAATGGGACACTTGTGTAGGCTTGATGGAGTATGTAACACTTCTGGTGCTATGGGACATGGAAGTTCTGAAAACATACTGTCGCAAGCATCTTGGTTGGGCATGGAAAATTGCCTATTCATAAAAGCATTTTGGCCGAGAGGTTTTTGCTCATTGAAGAAATGGGCTTAATGGCCTGTGATGGCTGGTGGCTGCTAGCCACACCACTTGCTGCAATATATGGGTGAGAAGTTGAAGGAAAGAGTTTGGCCATCTGGAATGAAGCCAATGGAGGAAAAGCAAATGAGTTTTGCAGCTGGACAGGGGTGTGTGTGTGTGGGGGGGGGATTCAAGGATGTACCCTTGCTTTGGAGGAAGCAATAATAATTTATAACCTGCAGTGCCTGTCTGGGCTTGCTTCCCCGCAGAATCGTTGAGTCTATTTCTTGATAATCCGTTAATTACAGAAGTTTTCACAAGTTTCTGACATTCCTATCTCACAAGGCATCCTGTAAAAGACTGGCACCAAATTTAACTCAGGTACATGGTGAGCTCAAACAAAAAAAGCAATTGAGTGGGTGAGTGGTCCTGCAAAACAGCTGCCAGACCAGCCAGGGAAAACAATGTCTTAGATTTTTAGGTCCCAAAGTGGCTTTACACGAGTGCACTAAAAAGCAGGAAGCTCTTTAGCTTCGCTTCGCTTCACTTTACAATTTATATCCTGCGCTTCTGCATCTAAGATGAAGCTCAGTCCATTGGTCTATATAGCGCAGAATCATTTCCCCTGGCTGGCAGTGACTCTCCCTTCCTATGGTTTCCAGCAACTGGTATTTATTATGTATTGAAACTTATGACTCTGTAGAATAATATGAAGTTTTTTCTTCTCCATGAAGGTGCTGCTGTCTGTCAGTGAGAGGCTAGCAGTGAGATGGCTATGACGGCTGCTGTATAATTACCACCTCAATCAGCCCTCAGTCTCTGGGTCAGGGAGCAAGATATATTTCCATGTCACCTAAATTTATGGATTGAAGAAGAAACACAGCTGGGGATTGGAACTCGGATCTGTACCACAATTGCTGCTGATAGGTGGTGACTTGCCTATACCTGGGAATGGTTACTTGTCTTATCCTCTCTGTGAAATGGCATTTGTTATGATCAATGGCGTGCGAGCCTCGATCCGAGGACACATTTTCAATAAAAGAGTCATAATTCACGTCGGCTTGGTTATTTATCTTTCCAAGTTTCCTCCATGCCATCTCCCTCACCTGCCAAGGTCAAAAACAAGCCCTTCAACATTTTATCCCCTTTCCCTGAGGGCTGCAAGAGGACAGAAGCAATCAATCAGGATGTGAGCACCAAATGAACTTTCCACCCATCTTTCTTGCTCACCTGTAGTTCTGCCTTCTTTTCTGTTGGGTGAGACGTGAAAACGAGGGGATAAAACCACAATGAAAGCTTTTTACGAATTAGCTGTCACGGACTGGTTGGACGCAGAGGCATCGTGGGAGGAACCAGCTGGGGAACACCCAAGGGAAGAAGGTTTGGAGCCAGGGGACTGGTGGTGGGATGACGACGAGTGGTCAGAGGGAGAAGAAGGAGAAGACTGGGAAGGTGTTGGAAGCACACTTATTCATTTTGAAAATATACAGTGGTACCTCAGGTTACATGCGCTTCAGGTTACATACGACTCCGCTAACCTAGAAATAGTGCTTCAGGTTAAGAACTTTGCTTCAGGATGAGAACAGAAATCGTTCTCCGGCGGTGCAGTGGCAGCAGGAGGCCCTATTAGCTGAAGTGGTGCTTCAGGTTAAGTACAGTTTCAGGTTAAGACCGGACCTCCGGAACGAATTAAGTACTTAACCCGAAGTACCACTGTAGTGGGTTTTGTAGTTTGTTGTTTTTATTTTATTGTATGACACCTCTAACTAGTGTTTTGTTTTTGCATTGCTGTTTAGAAGAGGTGTCTAGTAAATTTCATAACTAAACGGAATAAACACAAGACCAGGAGATTTAGGTAACAATCCCTAAATGAATGTTATTCTGTGCAAGACCCCTCAAAATGAAGGCCAGCCTAAGTCCTGTTGCTTCCTGAAGCAGAGCAGCCACAGTGGCTGGGGACAGACCAACATTCAAAGTACATTTCTCCAGCCCTGCCACCACAAAGAATCATGGGAACTGTAGTTTACTTATAACAGAACTACAATTCCCAGAACCCTTAACAAACAGTTCCCAGGATTCAGTGGGGGTGGGACAGAATGTGAATTTAAATGAATGGTGTGTGTGTGTCTGGGATAACAATCTGGAGGCAAACCAGGTCCTTGTTGTAGGATTTTATTTTCTCATTAACATCCACTTCACTGTAAAAACCAAAGTCTCTTTAGGCCCTGTCCTTATGTGTGCCTGTTATTCTGGTTTCAGTGTCAGATTTGATCAATATGCTCTTCCATTCGAATTAAGTTGGAACATTTCTATTTTATTTTTTCTTCTTCCACCAAGACTAGGGTCATTTCTGCTCTTTAGTTCCCAGCTGAAAACCTTCCTTTACTCTTTAGCTTATAATTGATACTCTCCTTACAACATTTTGTGATACTGAGCGTGAAGGACGCTGCACACAAACACAGAAATAGAGAGAGCTGAAGTTTGTACAATATTGTTTCTACGGCAGAAAGACTCTTCCATTCATGCCTCTCCCACCCCAGTCATAACTTTACAGTGATCATACTGCTTATTGATGGAAATACTGACAAACACAATGACTACTCAAACACAGAGATTGATGCTCAGCAGTTTCTAAGCCCTTAAAAAAAAGCACAATATCCCTCTAATGATGTGATCACATCCCCCAGTTTCTATATTCAAACTGTGCGTTAATGGATTTCATTTACATAATTCATTGAGCTGGAAAATGGTTTAGTTCAAGAATTTGCAAAGGGTTATTTTTTAAAAGAAGGAGGGTGGGGGCACAGCTTTCAATCGCCGATTGCAACCGCATCATCTGCCAGCAATGCCCTTCTTCCTGTGTTCTGCGTTGGAGAAAGAGGTCAGTCTCACAACAGGCATGAATCTGACATTAAAAATGGCAACATTCAAAAACTTCTGTGTGTGTGGAGGGAGGGGGGCATTTCAACCTACCAAGAGACCCAGGGGAGGCCTGTCTGGTTTTGCCATCTGAGGCAAAACAGGAATCGCCATTTCTTGCTTGCCCTGTTACCACGCCCAACCCCACCCCAATTCCTCTGCCAAAATGTCCTGGCCCTCTCCAGATTCAGCGAGAGCAGAGATGCTCCTCAAAGCATTGCTACGCAGCCTCTCCACCCCAGAGAGGGGAGATATGAGCACCAATGTGGCGAGCAGGAATGCCTTGCTGCTCGCTGAATACAGTGGGAGCCAAGGCATGCTATAAAGAGTTGCTACTTGGCGTCTCCACTCAGTGACAGGGAAGATGAGTGGCAATGCTGGTGGTGGCAGGTGTTGTGATGTACAGAACCCCCACATGAAGCACTCAGGAGTCAAGCTGCATCTTAAGTAGGGCTTTATTCTAATTGCAGTCTGGCATCCTCATGAAGCAGTCTTCTTACATCCCAGAATTAGCATGCACAGGTGGGGTTACATACACGGGAGAAGCCAGTATGGGGAAGTCAACCATACCTCTGAATACTAGCTGGCTGTAGACCAATTAGGCAATGCCCCATGTCTCGTCACATGAGACTGAGTCAGCATTTCCACTTAGCACAGAGTGCTAACTCCTTGATACCCACAACACTCCAGCAGTGGAAGCCTGTTGCACTTCTGACGTCTGAGGCAGATGCTTCACCCCGCCTCATGGGCAAGCCGGCTCTGAAGACACCCTGTAAATGACCTTGAGGGGGTCATACTTGAATGAAGGAGCTGTTAAGTGAGAAGGAAGGTGGTGACAGAGGGTGGCTATACCATGTCCGGATTCTGTGCAGGCCTCTGGGGATCACTGAAGAGAGTGGAACTAAATAGGCCCCCTCTTTTTTTTTGTCTGAGTAGGAGATTCCACTCCTGCAGAAGCCTTGCTCAGCTGGTCTGGAGTGCAGATGGTGAAGCTGAATTCTTCTCAATGCCATGGACCAATCTCTCCTCTTTACCAGAACACCCACAAGTGGATAGATTGCCTGTTCCCATGTACAGCTGCCTGGGATTTATGATCAGTTGGGAACACACTCTTAACAGTCCTGCATTTGCCAAGTGTGCATTATGTGGCAATTCATGGAGGACAAATTCATGATGTTTAGCAAGGCCATCAATGGCGATTAGCCATGATGCTTCCTGCTCTGCTCCACACTTGGAGGTAGTAATGCTTCTGAATAACAATTCCTGGAAATCGCAGGAGGGAGAGTGCTTTTGTGCTCAGGTCCTGCTTGAAGGTTTCCCAGAGGCATCTGGTTGGCCACTGTGAGATCAGGATGCTGGACTAGGTGGGCCACTGGCCTGATCTGGAAGTCTCTTTTCGTGTTCTTATGTGAGATGGTGTTTCCAATATGGATGTGCAGCAGGAGAGCTTGCTGTCTTGATGAATTCTTGCATGTGTTGATGAGCCGGCTGTTTTAACGGTTTGATGCCCTTTGGGTTTTTATTGTGGATTATGGGCTTATGTCTCATATTGTACAATGCTCTGGCATTATTTTTTAATGAGGAGCAGGATAAAAATTCCCTAAATAAATAATGTGAATAAAATAATTGCCACCAGCTTGTGAAAACTGGGCCTTAGTCTGACTGATTTCTGCTCTGTGTTGGTTAATTGCCAAAAAACAACACATATTTCCCCTACAGTAGGAGTTCTCAAATTGTGGTCCACAGACTACCAATGCCCATGAATTTCATTCAGGTGGCTTGTGGCATGTCTGTGGATTTGTGGCTGAAGTTGGGAGATGCCACATCCATTGCACTGAATATTCATATTGATGTTTCATTGTATTTTAATTGATTTCTTATTACATTTTTATAATTTATTTCTCATACATTGTATTCTATTGGATTATAGCTTGAATTCTGTGGAATTCAAATTGTAATATAAAGGGGGTGGCGGCGTGGGAGTGTTTGTATGCAGCAGTACAAAATCACACAATATCCAGCCGAGTATATTACATGCACTTCTGACGTCTGAGGCAGACGCTTCATCCTGCCTCATGGGCAAGACAGCATTTAGGTGGCAGCGAAGAGCACTTTTCAGGCATTTAGCCAGAACAGTCAAAGGCAAAAAGGCACAGGGTGGGGCTGGGGCCCATACCCCTACCCCAACCTGAACCCCATTCCCGCTGAGACTGATTGGATGCAGAGAATTAGTGGGAGGAACCAACTGGAGAACACCCAAGGGAAGAAGGCTCAGAGCATGGGGTTTGGTGGTGGGACGATGAAGAGGGAGAAGACCGGGAGGAGGAGGTGTCAGAAGCTGAAGAGGTAACAGGGCTTAGTGAGCTGGGAGAGTGTGTGGCAGAGAGCAGTCCAGAATCAGAGGCAGAAGCTGAAGCTGAAGCAGGGGAGAAAGGAAGCCAAGAGGCAGAGATGGGTCAGGCTAGTGAAGAGACAGAGATGTCTCCCCCTCCTGCTGCAACAAGCTCCCCTCCCCCCGGTCTCCCAGAAGAGGAACGAAGTGGGAGGAGCAAAGGCTGGCAGGCTGGCACAGTCTCAGATTGCTTGGGGAGAACCATGAAGAGGAGGGCACTTAAGCAGCTGTAGGGAGTGGGGACCTCCAGTTTCTGCAACTGCTTTATAGGGTCAAGACTGACCGAAGAAGAGTTCCAATAAAGAGTTAACTCCACTTAGTTTGTGTGATTTACTGCTGGCTTTCTCCTGACACTGGGCATGACCTCTTCACCCCACGTTACCTTTTTGCATTGAATGTAATCAGAAATTTCCCTGTGATTAGGACAGCTTGGTAGTGCAGATGAATGCACTTACACCCCCCCTTCCTGCCTGATTCATTAAGTGGTCTGCCAAGACCCTCAGAAATATTCATGTGGTTCTTGGTGGGGGGGGGCGAGTTTGGGAGTCACTGATCTGCATCCCAAGATGCAGTCACCTCCTTGCCCTTGAATAGTGACTCTCTACGTAACGTGAGCCAGGAGAGCACCTGAGCTCTCTAGAACTCAGGGACAACATACATATATGCTAAAATTAGGCAAATTAGAGATAAGGCAGGATGAGGAGACGAGATG